CACCAGCCGGCGACTGCTCGTGAGGTGGTTGGTAGTAAGATGGTGGCTGGCGGACATCCGTTTGCGGTGCATGGGACCGTTGAGCGTGGGGACCTACCGGAGGATAGTTACTGTTGTAGCCACCACCTGCATTTTTACTATCCTGAAAACTGAGGCCGGCCATCTGCCTTTGGACATCTTCCATCATTTCGCGGCATTGGATGTTTCTTGTCATCACAAAATCGCTGCATTGCTGCTTCACATTTGTGATTGCATCCTGTCAAGTAAAAGTCGATTGACGTTTCAGCTCGGGAAAACCGAGGCAAAAAGAGATGTATGTTAATACCGTTCTTTCAAGGTTCTCCAATGCGATGCGACACCGATTCTTTAAAGAAAGCATAACAAGAAAATTCTCGACTACCAACCAATGCAACATTGCAGTCTATTGAAACACATGGAAGAGAAGAACGTAGAGTTATTACCTGAAGAGTGACATAAAACTTTAATCCTTCATTGATGTTTTCCTTGATTTCTCTGTACTTGGCTACTGCAGATTGAATCTGTTTGTAGCATCTTTCACGAGATGCTGGAACAAATAGAAAGGAAGGGGATGAAACCAGAGGAAAAGAAACAGAATATAACAAAATAATGAGACAGTAGACAAGTGGACCATTTTGCAAACATTCTAAATTATAAGCTACAGAACAAACGGAAGCAATTAAATTAGCCTAAAATGCAACGAAAATCAAATCACTGAAACGTCTGCAACAGCAGATGTGGACTCCAAAGAACACAAAAAATATAACTAGAAGGAAGATGCAACAATTAATTATGATAATAACAAGAACCTCGGAACTTCACCAAATTTGTCAATACGTGGAGTAATAAATCAAATTGCACGTCTTAAGAATATAAATCTGGGGACCTATTTGGGGATGTTAGTTTGGTAATCAACAGGATTACTCCAATACTGCCCATTTCGAGACAAAATAAATTGTGGTAACCACACAGATACAACAGAACCTAGCAAACTAAATTTACCAAAGATAATGTAAGTCTAGTATTAGAAATTCGGTCTTGAATTTATGAAGGATAAAAAGTCAACAAAATGACTAGGAAGGTCTTATCAAAAAGCAAAATCATTGGACAAGGTTTCGTTGAGATGGTTAAAAAAAAGGTTTTACTCAGCCAACCACTAATTTTTTTAGTTCTTTTAAATGAGAAATCGAACTTTCAATTGACAGAATGAAAGAATATACAAAGGGCGTACAAAAAACACGAGCCCAACAAAACCAGACCGACCTATAAAGGGCTACAATCCAAAAGAATAATGCCTAACTGAATCACAAAAATCCTTCAAAACTGACACCCACATGGAAGAGTTAAACCTAACAACATCACAAACTCCAACTCTCTCAAGGCCTCTCGATCCCCCTAAAACCTCTGCTATTCCTACCAACACGAAATAGCCAAAAAACGAGCTTCCCACCATAGCCTGCCACTAACCAACAAAGAACACATATGGGAGTTCACATACTTAAATCACATCCATAACCATGAAATAAATTTTTTTAAAATATAGTTTCTAATTTGTGCAGTTCAAAGGAAAAGATCGTTCAATTGGTTGAATCCTCAACCAAACAAAACATACCTTTGAAGTCTTCTAGATTAAACACGGCAGAAAACTCGTTGTTCTGGCCCTGAAAATTAATGACAAAGAATCATTTACCATTCAGATCTAAGTATAAACGGAAAAAAAAAAACAGACAAACAAAAAAAAACAAACAAACATATGATGGGAAATGTATAATTTAAAGTTTAAGGGTTTCATTTTTACAATTGAAAATTTAGGAGTGAGATTTTCTCTCTCATTAAAGTTCGAGGGTTTAATTTTTACAATTGAATGTTTTTTTTATGAAAAACAATACTTTCATTGAGAAAAATGAAAAAGAAAAAGAAAAAAGATACAAGAGCTTCAGAAAGCCAACAAAAGGGCATCCAGAAAAACAGCCCTGAAAGAGTAGAACCCCTTACAGAAAAGGACTCCAATCCAAAAGAATAAGACCTAGCGAATAATAACAAAAGGGCTTAGAAACCGAACCCATAAAGAAGTGTTAAATCTAACGAAATCCTAGACATAATCCACGGGTTTCTCCACCCCCTGAACAATCTATGATTCCTTTCAAGCCATATACCCCATGACATAGCTAGAAAGCCAGCTTGCCATAAAAAGCAACCCCTACACGAAAAGGGGATATAGAAAAACCTCCTCCATCATGGCCCTACAATCCCTAGCACGGACCCAGGATATCCCAAAACACATAAAGAAACGATACCAAAGATCCTGACAAGTCCACAACAGATGATTAAGGTCTTCTGAGACACTCTCGCAAAGAACGCACCACTGCACCACTGCGGTCTTCTGAGGCACAATTGACTATTCAGAGGTCCAATTTTTTCACTTATTAAAGTTTGAAGGTTTAATTTTTATAAAGGTATACCATGTAATAACTATCCTAAGGAGTGGTATGTGCAATTTTCCCATAATAAAATGTAGTAACTGTCTACCACATTAATCATACAAAATTAGGAGACTGGAGCAGGCATTCTGCCCTAGATTTACATAAGGCATATGGTTACATTACTGGAGGTTGTGAAGTCATGTGCCATGTCACCTTCTAATACTCTACACACTAAAATTGTGTTTACAGTGTTACAAGTGCATGCCTAGTCATCAATTTCCTTATAATATGGCATCACAAGGAAACTGATAACAGAGAAGTGTACATAGTGATACCAAGTAGGAACCTTTTACTGGAAGCTATTTAAAATAACTTTAAATATAGTTTTGGTCCCTCAACTTTTACAAATTTTCAATTTTGAGCCTGAACTTTTGAAATTTGATTTTAATTCTTAATTTATTACCCACTTTCCTTTTTTATCCCTTTTAACTTTCAAATTTCAATTTTAATCTACTAGCTCTCATTAAATTACAGATTTAGCCCATACCATATCCCTATCAAATGTGACATAACCTCATTTGTTATTAAGAACTAAAATTGAGATTTTAAATGTTCGAAAAACCAAAATAGCAAAGCGAATAGAAGTTTAAGAACAAAAATCATACTTTCTAAAGTTTAAGGACTAAAAAAGATAGATAAAAGTTTGGAAACCAAAACCACATTTAAACTTTAAAATCATATAAACTTAATACAATATTTATTAAAAGTTTATTCTAATTAAAAATCTAAGGTTAACCTATAACCTATAGAAAAATAACAAATCAGTATACTTTTCATTTTTTAAAAATTAAAAATTAAAAAAAAAAAAAAGAGAGAGAAGAAGAGGAAGATATCGTCCCATTTTTCTAACATAATTATTTTAATTTGTTGTTAATAATCATAATTATTCATGAAAAATCAATTTTGTACAAAATTTTTAAAAGCACAAAATAAATTTTTCCACAAGTATTAGAAAATAGTACCTTTAACTTTATAGATATTTGTTTACAAGAGAATAATATTTTTGAACTTGACATTTTATATAAATCGAAGATCACAATTCACAACAATTATTAAAATGGAAGCTATTATGATTCTATAATAAGCTTAATAAGAGACCTTAAAGAAAATAGAAGTTCCCTATCTTCGGGACTTTAATAAAACAATGGTTTCAATTGAAAAAGTTGGGTGCTAATTGCAAATTTATTCATAAAAAGAAAATGAGCCGTACAATTATAGGGTTACAAAACATGTTTTCACCCACCTTGCCTCAGTTATTTACCATGGAGTAGAACAATTGGACAAGGTATCATTCACAATAAAGTATCTTGTTCGAACTTGGAAGGCATCATGAAACAGCTTGAAGAAAATTCTAAAAACATGAAAAGACAGAAGGTTGAGAATGGACCTGAATCTGCAATAACAATTGTTCCTGGGCCTCAATGTTTCGAGAAATTTCCTCGCAGATATTGTCATATTTGGCTATCTCCTTCCTGAAAAGATCCTCGTAGGACCCAGTTGATGTCATCAACTTTGGTAGTATATCATCCTAAAGCAGCATAAAAGGGACGAGGTCATCATTTGTTTAAAAATACATCAAAGCAAAATTATTGGCAACTTAGAACAGCTACCAGATGCTTCCACAAGCTACCACTATCATATAAATACTGAGATTTGAGAGAACAACCAAAATAAAATAAAATTGTAGTAGTACAACAGAATTATCAAGAAGAACAAGTAATAATCTTCAATTCACTGGACAGCAGGCCATAGTAGTGCAAAATCAGAATTGGGGTTGATATGGTGGGAACAACATAAATCATGTATTAAATGCTATTGTACCAATAGTCCACGAAACAAATGTCAGGGGGCACTTGACTTGAGCTGGGTATATCTACTTTCGGCAAAAGTTCCATCTCAGATGACTTTTACCCTTCTTGAAAGAACAACGCTATGGCATTGATTATATAGCATCATAATACTCAACTTGTTTTGTGAGAAATTTGTAAAATGAAGAATAGAACTGCTTTTGAGGATTCAAGGTTGCAAGAGGATAGAGCTTCTGCATCTAGATGCTTTCTTCTTATTTCCAATTCCAGAGAATTTTATCATTCTCCGCTTCTTTTGGTTGGGGTTAGTTGGAGAGTACTTTTCATATCTCACTAACCCAAGCCTAGGCTTGATTCCTAGTCAGTCCTCCCCTTCATAGATTCCTTCATTATATACATGTTCTCAGACATACACACTCATTTATGATGAAAATGCCGCTTGGTTGAATTTTGCTTCATTGTTTAAGTTGTACTTCTCATCCAATCTTTTGCTTTACTTCTTTCTTTTAGTGAAGTTTCTTATTCTATATCGTACAATGTGAAATCATAGTTATTGAGATAAGAGCGACGTAAGGAATTGATCATCTCTAATGCAGACAATTTGACTCAAAGGCAAAAATGTTGAGGAATAAAGTGCAGAAATTATACCTTCCTCTTCATTTCTTTTAGCATGTCTTCAAGACCAGCTCGTTGAGCACCAAGATTTTCCAACTGCCTCTGTGTTATTGAGCATGCAACATTTACAATACACGTTAACCATGAGTAAATAAAATTAGATCTTTTATGCATCAACATGAATTTCAAAGTTTTCAAAATGTGTGGCTTTTTTTCCATAACTGTGGGTGTTTAAGCAACATACAATATAAACAATCTGAATTAATCTTGAAATATAACCATCTTACCCGACAATATTTGGCAGCAGAAAACTTATATGATATCCTAGGTAGGAGCTACATGGTTTCAACTTTCAACATAAAACTTTCAAAGATGGGTACGACAAAATATAACCACCTTACCCTACAATATTTGGCATCAGAAAACTTATATGATATCCTAGGTAGGAGCTACATGGTTTCAACATATAACTTTCAAAGACGGGTACAATTTTTTCTTTTGACGATTGGGTCACTCAAGGTGGTTGATCTTTGACATTATTCTTCATACTTTATAAATGGCACACTTTTTTATGGCCATACACTTCATTATTCCCTAAACCCACGTATGCATCTGAGAACTCCAAACCTCCAACTTCAAAATCTTGTTATAAGGAAAAACAATCAAGTAACTCAAACAGAAGAATCATTCACATATATGAGTAGGAAACAAAACTCAAGTATTTGACAAACTGAAATATTAATCTAAGACCTTTGTTTTACATCTAGCAATTACCAGCTACGTGTTTTTTTTTCTTGAAATCCGTGTGTCCGGACCAGCTTGTTTGTACTTCGACTAATCACGGGCCAACCGTCTATATTTGGTTGACAAGATAACTTGTAGGATATTAAATCCTAGGTAGACACATTCCCTCTCTAAATCTTTTGCTATTTACATTGGCCCTTATTGACCACTAGGTCATACCATGATGGTTTCCAGCAACATAACTTCTACCAGAACTAAAACTGAGAGCTACTGTCTAACATTAAAAAATTTAGTAGTCAAGATACCCAGGGACAAATTATTAACGCAAAAGCACTTGGAAATAATTCAGAATCAGGAAGGGAAAAATAGAAAGCGTAAAAAAGAATAATAAGAATAAGGTACCAAGCTCTGCTTTAGGCCACCAACAATAGCATCTTCATTGGCATCCAAAGACATTATCGGCCTAGCAAGAGTTGGGATAGCAGACTCAACCTGAAATTCAAATGCAACAATAATAATAACTTAAAAACTTACACATACTCCAGAAATAACAATAATTGACATCAAATGAAAAAGAAGCGATATATTTAATGCTAAAGAGAAACCATAAGAAAATTGACAAGAACACTTTCCAGAATAGTAGCACTTCTCAAAGAAAAAGCAATCAACCAAAAAGTTATAGGGAACATAAGCAATGCAAATCTCTTTTCTCATTTTAGTAATCACAATTGAGACAAAGATATTCGACACTTTAGAAGGAAGTTGATATATTTTATTTACAAAAAGAAGGTACATGATTATAAAAAATAAAATAAAAACTTCCGGAATCTAAAGCTCTTGCCACAATGTAATAACAAAATAGTAAATTCACCAAATATTATAATTAATTAAAAGAATGCAAGAGCTACATATTCAATGAGGTCTTCATTTCTCCATTGAAAAGAGGACAGGTGATAGTATGGAGCCAGAAAATAAGCCAGGCACTAACCAAGAACTGAGAAATAGGAGGCAAGTGAATACAAGAAATGAACATGAAAAAGATTATGAACAGAACATACCGGACGGTGATCAAGAATTGACATGAGAGCTGAGTGATCTTTCACTGAACGCTCGATCCTGGCATCACTTTCTGCAGCTTGCTTCAAGTTACCTGCAAATCTATTCAATCTATCTTGTATGTTCTTTGTCAGTGTACTGGACTGAGGCCTAGTCCACCGAGTCCCAAATTGGCTTCGAAATTGGGAGTCCTCTATTGCTTCTTTCTGCAGGAGCTCCTCAATCTGCACTAGCATTTCACTGTTTACTCTTCTTAGATCCCTGAGTTGTTGTAACTCAGCTTCCAAACCTACTGGGCCCCCACTAATTTGCACTGCCTCAACATCTTCTTTAATATCTGCCGGCAGGGAAGAATTTCCTTCCAAGGCAAGAATAGATTCAGGAAGGTCCATTTCCTTGAGCCTTACTCGGGTGAGCTCACTTGCTTGTTGCAATTTCTCAGCTTGTGTTCGTATGATGTCATCAACCATTTCAGTGTACCTAGAAAGAGCCTTTGCACTGCTATCTGGAACAAGACTTGCAAACATCTTTTCCTTGCTTGCATCCAACACTTCATTCATTGCCATTGACTTCACCATGGAGAAAGCTGGAAGAGGAGGTAGAGTACTAGGATTAGGAACCCTCATGAGGTAGACTCTATCATTTTCCTTCACAGCTCTCTCTAAATTACGGTTAAGATTGGCCTCTAACTTATTCATAGCATCAAGAAGCTGTGCTGCAGCACCCTTTGATGACTTCTTAGCCTCAGTTAAAGCAGCAACCCCACTCTTCAACCGAGCAATTTCCTCGGAAATATTTTCTTTCTCATGCAACTCTAAACCATACCTATAGCAAGCTTCAGCAAAAAACAGAGCTGCCTTCAGCTGCACATGAGTTATCCAGGCCTTGTCAAAATGCTGGCTAAGAGGTGCAGCATTGAGAGCTGCCAAAGCTTCCTCGTAATACAAGCCAACCTGCCAATGCATAGATCAGAAATCATTTAAGCAGAATGCACAAAAACCTCTAAAAGTACAGTCCACAACCGATGACATATACATTAAGATCAGGAGTTATCAAATAACAAGAAAAGGTGCACTAAATTCATCTACTTAATCAACCCATTGCAGATCTATTGCCAAGATATAATTGTTTTCGCCAAGTAAAGCTACATTTTCAAGTGACGATTATAGAGGTTAATTCACTCCACAAGTATGGAAAATTTAGCAAAATTGAAGCAGCAAACTAACTCTAACTGGGTAGGGTAATTGAACGAATTGCCAAATCTGACAATTGTTTAGCAACATTAACAGCCAGAAATTCCAAGGAGCAATAGATATGATACAACGAAATTGCACACTCACCTGCCTAGAGATCTTGGCGCAGACACCCGGAGTGCTACCTTTGGCAATCGTATTCTCGAAGACGCACTCCTGCGCCTGGGCCAACATCAGCCTCTCCAACATCCCCACACACTCGACCGACACATCCACAGTGGTGGAGGTACCAATCGACGCCTTGGTGGACGCATTGTCCCTCAAGAACGCGAACGCCCCAGCAGCCGCGATGAACGCATGAGAAGCCTGGCGCCGCCCCTCAACAGTAGCGCGATCAAAGGAGAGCCCAATCTGGCTGTACACGGCACCCAAATTGAACAAAACCGCAGCCTTCTCCAAGTGGATATTCAGCTGGGAAGCCTTCTGCTTCTGCTTGAAGGCGTCGTACCAGACGAAGGTGACGGAATTGATGTGGTCCTTGTCGGGGGAGATGGGGAAGCGAGTCTCGACGAGGCAGAGGGCTTTGAAGTAGCTCTGGAGGAGATCGCGGCGGGCGGTGGGGGAGGGATCGGATTGGCGCTCGAGATCGGAGCGGTAGTTCTTGAGGGTTTGGAGGTCGTCTTCGAGGTTCTGAGCCTCGCGCTCGGAGTAATTGAAGACGATGAAGTTGCGGAGGGGCCGGTAGAGGTCGAGTTGAGTGGTTTTCTTCTCGAAGATGGCGAGCATGATGTTGGAACTGGTGCCGGCCGACGAAGAGGAGGCCGAGCCCGCCATTTTTACAGTTCGATCAATTCTGAGCTTCGAAAAATGGAGGCACGAGAATTCCTCTGGTTCCTTCTCTCTGGTCTGCGTTTTATTTTTCTAATTTTATTTATTTTCTTCTTCACGAAGGAAATTGGAAATTCCTTCTCTCTTTTCTTTCTTTCTTTTCATTACATAAGGCTAAATCTTTTTTTTTTTTTTATCTTTTATCTTTTATACTTTAGTTTTAGTATTTGTACTTCCAATTACTCTTTCTAGACTCTACTTTTATTTTATTAATTACCATTTTGATGATATGATCTTTGTCAATATATTTTCTTTTATAATAATTTGTGTTATTAATTTTAAAAATAGAAACAAGTTTTTTACATCGTTTTTTTCTTTTTTTTTCGGCATAATTAGATAAGACATTTATTACCAAAGAGAAAGATGATGTTAAATTATCTACTTTCAAGATTGTTGAATAAAGAAACTATAAAACTTTAACAAAATTAATAAAAATAATTTTTTAAATACATTTTAGTTGTCAAAATATAGTGTCTGAAAGTGTGCCATAAGAAATGATAAATTGTGAAATTTAAGGACAAAATAAGATTTAAACTTACTTGTGATTTGGGATTATCATTATTTTGTAATAATGTAATCTTGCAAGATTTATTCAAATTCTAAATCTTAAGCGAACATGTATATAGCTATTGAAATTCTCACTTCGCTATATTTATTATATTAAAAAAAAAAAGAAGGAAAAACCTATACTTCTTATAATATCGATGAGATTTTACAATTTGTAATTTATGAATGACATCATAATACGACCTCTCAATGCCTAAATCATTATAACTGTTTTTTTTAATCGAAATATGATGAATATTTTTTATTCGATATAGGGATGTCTTCTCCCTTATCTAAGTAGCCTTCTTAAAATCTCTTAATTTATACTTGTTTTTAATATCTCTTTGTTGATGCTTGGATTTTGGTAGATCGGTTCACTCTAAAATACGCACCAAACTCCATTATCAAGGGACCGGATACCTACAAAACCGAACAACCCTAAATTAGTGTGAGTTCTATCACACTGGATCTGATGTCTTAACTATGGGAGAAATCACTAAGCAAGTAATGTACTTCAAAGTGTAATGTACCTTCAATGGGTGCTTCCCTCTTATTTATGGTTGATCTTCCTCTTAGGATTTCACGAACTCCAATCCTACTCCTCTCTAGCCAGGCTCATTGGGTCATGACACTTACTAGCCCTTTAATCGAGGCTTAGGCCCGAATATCATTTGATTGGCACGGAGACCGAGAAAGAGAGAAAGGTCGAGAAGGGCTCGGCGCCGAGGTGGAGTCGGCTCTCCAGTGGGCCGGCGCCCCTACATTATGGGCTAGCCCCAGTTGTCAATAGTCCCGGTTGCCCTTCTTCTTGTACGGTCCATACCCTTATTGTCATATGTACCGTATTGCTCCATATAATACTCTTAATTAGACATTTGATAAACAATCAAACATCGAGCAAATGAACAAAACATAAATCATATCAAGTTTCTATTTTAATCTTTAAGAAAAATAAATGACTAGCGACTAAGATTGATATTTATACCCAATTTGAAAACAAAACATTGGTAAAGTTTAAAAGTTAAAAGATATTATAATTTATACTAGAAACACACATCTAAACAATAAAGTTGATTTCGTAATATTTACTCCAAGAAAAAAAAAGTTAATTTCGTAATAAATAGACTAACTAAATATCGTGTGAAGTCAACTAATTTGAATTGTAATTCTCTGAATTGCTTTCAACCAAACCCCACATTAAAGTCATGAAAGTTTTTCTCTCCATCCACAAAAGTCTTGATCAACAAGTTTTCAAATAATTAAAAGTGAGAGAAAATTACTCGTCCTAATCGTGGGAATGATTCGTTGAAGGCTAATGTTATTTCCACCCATTCTAAAATAGTTCAATAGAAAAAATATTTAACGGTAAAATATACTTTTCGTCTCTAAATTTAAAGTTATGTTTCAATTTAGTTCCAAAGTTTCCAGAAGCAAACCGTTCTAAAAGGTCTTTGGAGTTAAACTTCGTTAATAATACTAATGGAACGTTGACGCAATCACCGCTACAGTCGCCATAATTTTTTATGTTGCTTCTGCTTTTGGACAAACATCATCGATCTAGGATTCACGCTTCTTGCTGCGATTGTCTGTACCGCCCTCTCCCTCTCCTCATAACTACTCAACCAAAAGATTTGAGACAAATATGAAGAAGATCAAAGCCTTCTGACAATGAATAAGAAATCTCTAACACAAATCCACAAAAAAGGGGAAAAAACAAAACAGAAGACAAAGATTAATGTGCAATTCTAGAAATGGCAGGTCTTGGGCGTCCAAATTGAGTTTTTGGAAGTCTTGTTCCGATGAATTGGGAGAATTTGAGAAGAAAGGTAGCCACGGAGGAGCAGGAGGAGGAGAGAAAGGAGAGAGCGAGAAAAGAAAATTACATGCAAAGTAAAAATAATATTAAAATAATTAATATTATTAAATCATCTCAAAATTTTCAACTCACCTATGTCAGATCAACATTCTATATTGTTAACAAGGTTAACTCTAAAGATTTTTTGGAATTATTTTTAAAAGTTTCTGGAAATTCAAGGACTGAAATCTAACTTCAAATTTATGACAAAAATGTATTTTATCCAAATATATATTAACTCAAATGTCAAAAGTTCAATATTCATCTATATTTATTAAACTAACAAAAAAAAAGTTATTTTATACGTGGAAGTTATTGTGTGGAATTTTTTTACTAATGAACAGCGCTTTATTTATTTTACTGGTGACTTAGAGAACATACTTAAAAAGTAGGGGAAATAACGAAATTTAAATGGATAATTATGCAGTAATGTTTCATTTAGCTTATGCTCTACGAGATTTGATAATTTCACAGGATAGAAGTACCTATTTCTGACATTGGCAAGCGTGCCATGATAAAATATATATTTCCATTTAAAAATTAATCGGTAAAACATCATTTTCACCTCTATATTTTTAAATACAACATTGATAACATGAGCATAACTTCAGTAGTAATTGACATGTATCGGATGAAAATTTTCCACAGAGATCGAGTTCCCATAGGAAATTATTCTCCATTTACTTTTTAAAAGAAATTTCCAATTAAATGTTGATTCTCCCTATAAAATAATCTCCATTTAAATAGTTAAATATGAAAAATAAATCCTAATTTAAAAGGAAATATTCTTAAATCTTGTAACATAAACATCAAAGGAATGGTTTAAGATTTTTTTAAGCTACATTAAAAAAACAAATAAATATATAAAACATATGGGTCAAGGTCGGAGAGTGGAGACAAAAAACATATTCCCCGTCCCTGTTTAGGTCACAGAAAAAAATTCTCCCTCGCCCACACCCGGGGGAATTAACACCCCTACCTCAAACACTCCGAAATCCACTCTGTTGGCGATATATTAAGCTTATCTAATTAAAAGATCAACACAATTTTGTCTTCAAAATTTTGTATTCAAAGTTCAATTATTCCTAATCTCATCTGTAATTAGGGACAGAGAACCATCAAAATTCCAAAAAAATCCAAGTTGTACACAACCAATAATAATAACATTGGCAGGAGTATCTATCTTATTTCTGTGGCAACACTGAGTTCCTCTTCCTCTTTCTTTGGTTCTTCCTGCTCGCAACACCAAACATTGTGGGAATGGGAATGACTATGAGCAATAAACATAGATTCTGAACTGCATCCAATGTTTTGGAATTGATTGGGAAAATCAAATATACAAAAGAGTCCTAAGTCCATTTTCCCCCTTATTCAAACAACAACAAAAACAAGGGGCAGGCCAGTGCCAGTGGCTTCATTTCTCTTCAACACACTCAAATGGCAAAAGGGAAAGAACCTGGTACAAGACATCTCTTAAAAAAATTTATAAATGAAAATCTCCTTGTTGACAGAACACTTGCCAACGTCGCCTAGATTATTGATCTTCACAATTATAAAGAGAAAAATGGGGAGAGTTGTGAAATACGACTAAGCAGCAGATTCCTTGGCAATCTTCTCGGCCTTGGCAATGACCTCTTCAATCCCTCCAACCATGTAGAACGATTGTTCAGGAAGGTCGTCGTATTTCCCGTCCAAAACTCCCTGACAAGCAAGAGGGAGAAGAAGAGACCACCCGTTAATAATGAATTTTACACGCATTGTAAACATTCTAGATGAGATGGGGGATTTTCCCCGCAAAAAAATGTACTTCATTTAGTGTCAAGATACATGTCCTCAACAATTTACTTGAGAAACTCATTCTCTCGTCTCTCTAAAAAGAACAATTTTATTGCCTACAAAATCATCTTGAAAGAGGCGATTTACTCTAAATTTGAAATTATTCTCAGACAAGCCCTGTTTAAGGATTTTTTTAATCCAAAACTGGGCTGATTTATGTAGGCTTTTTAAACTTGTGTAACCAAATTACCAAACACATAATCTGGTCAGCAAACCCATGTTAGAAGCCATAAGCTGAGCTTCCTCATTCTACCTATGACGAGAATATTTCCCACAAATAGATAGAAAATTTTCTAAATCTGATATCAATTAAATTCACATATAATACAAATATTCAAAATTCCTTAATAAGCGTAAGCGTACAACTCAGACATCTGAGTCTATTCAAAGCAGCCATAAATTGATTCGAGAGTGTGAATCAGAGACATGGATTCAAAAGAATGTGACAAACTTAAAATTGACCAAGAAATAAAAATGGCTCAACAACTTACTATGCTACAGATCAAATTTTTTATTAAACCTGAGCAACTGAGCTACCTCCTAAAATAAGGTGAAAAACATAAGAATCCAAAACATCATGATAACAGGGTGAAGAAATTAAAACCTCAAATAGAGTCGGGCAAGGAAATTGATATATCATACGATGCATGTCAACTAATAAAGTGAAGAAACAGGAAGGTACCTGGAAACTGTTGATACTCTCTTTCAGCTCCACGTATTTGCCAGGTGCCCCCGTGAATACTTCTGCAACGTGGAAAGGCTGGCTCAAGAACCGCTGGATTTTACGAGCACGTGCAACAGTTAACTTATC